AACACAGCAGGCCAAGCAGCATCAGAGGAGCAGGAAAGCTGACGTTTAGGGTCAGAAAATTTCTGAAGAAGGGTCCAGACCCAAAACGTCAGCTTTCCTGCTCCTCTGATGCTGCTTGGCCTGCTGTGTTCATCCAGCTCTACACCTTGTTCTCTCAGATTCTCCAGCATCGGCAGTTCCCACTATCTCTGAATCTGTTCTGCTAGCAAGTCTATATGACATCACTATAGTGGTTGATGATTATGGCACTCATTACTAAACCTTTCAGACCCACAGCCAAAACCCCAACACAGCTTTCTCACTAGCACTACTTCAAAGGATTGTGATGAGACAGCATTTTCAGGTTGCTTGCTGGTCAACTCCTACTAGCTGTTGCTGCAATTGCATAAATGTTTAATGGTTTCTAGCATTCCAAAGCTGCAAGGAGTGTAGCTGAGGGATGTTTTCTTGACGTCAAAGATTTAGCATGTTCTACCTGGCAGCCAGACGTGTTTGCAAGTGGACTAAAATATGGCAGGGAAAATAAGCATAGGTTGAGGGTAGGACAGGCAAGAAAATAGAATGAAAGTCACAACCAGATCAACACTATTGAATAGTGGATCAGACATTTATCCTGTTCCTATTTCTTCCGTTCTCTTCAGGAAAACCATAGTTAATTCAGTTGGCAGCCATGCTACTTGCGGGCTTGAATACATAGACTGAAAATTAGCAGAATAATTTCAATATAACAAAATGTATTTGGATGCAAACCTTCTGTAAATCACTCAAAAATGGCACAATACAATTATAAATCGAAAAATGATTACAAAATAACTGCTTTATTAATAATACCTTTCACACACCCAAATCACACTTTCAAATTGAGACTCTTTAAAGAATTTAGAATATCCTTTATTGTCATGTGTACTCCAGTGCAGAAGTACAGGAGTACAGTGAAAGGTTTTTACAATGGCTGTCTCTAATGGTACCATCTTAGGTACAAGTGCCGAGGTACAAATCTTGGATACAAAGGTGGAATAAAAGGAAATGGTAGTAGCATTACATAGTGTCCAAAAAATAAGTTAGAAGTAAAATAGTTATAACATGGGTAAAGGATTAACATTACAGTACGATAAAAAATTTTACTATCAATATACATTGCAGTGGCTCAGCAATCACATGCTCTGACCGCCCACACCAGTCCCCAATCCAGCAAGAGTCCCGCTCCACTCCAAGCCTCCAGTCTGTTCCGCTAGAATCTCAACTGCACCAAGGTGAGGTGCACTGCTCTGGGACTCACTTTTCCTCTCGCAGATCTCCAGGACTCGTTTCTTCTCATGCTACTCCAGGACATGCTTCCCTTTGTGCTAACTCTTGTCAAATAAAAGTGTTTTAACAAATGACTATTAAAAATTCAACTACACATAAAAATACTACGCCGAAACTCAAAAGAAACCAAGTTACTGAAAAGGAACTGAATTCTGACTTAGACAACACAGTGTGGAGCTGGAGGAACACAGCAGGCCGGGCAGCATCAAATGAGCAGGAAAGTTGACGTTTCAGGTGAGGG